TCCATGGTCGATGGTCATTATAGAAATAGGCCTGGGTGACACACGGTCGAGGCACTGCTGAATCAGTGCACTCTCGGGGCCGGAGGGGAGGTGAATCATTAAGACCAGCTAGGCAATGCACGTAACCCCATCTCTGCAATAAATACAGAGAATCCAAAATTAGCAGGTGTGCATGTGCTGTAGACACCAGGGGCTTACTCAGGAGGACTGAGTGGGAGGATGCTTAAGTCGTAGAGTCAAGGGGTACGGTGGAGGTCCCGCGATCGGGCACGTGACGTCCGCGGCTGGTGGACAGAGCTAAGACCTATGTCAAAAAATAAACGCAGAAAAAAGGAGGAGTAGAGACGAAGAACGAGTCGCGCTATAGAATTCTTCGCTGGAAGGGGTTGACTGCAATTGGACACTTTCGACTGTTCTAGTGCTGGGAGGTAGTATATTTGAAAATGGATTTATCTGTGATAAATGGGGGGGTGGAGAGACTTTGTTTTGGAGACAGGGTACGACGCTCGTGTGCACAGGTTGAGTGCAGTGGTGAGGATCATGGCTGCTTGCAGAACTCGGGTCGGTTCGAAGATACGGGAGTGTGTGGGGAGGGTGGCTGGGGTGGGTGGGGGCTGGCGCCCCAGCTGACCCTTGTCCTCAGACCTCTACAAAACTTTGACCAAGAGGTGGTGGAGGAATTCTGGTGGGTCCAGGGTAGCCCTGGGTGGCCCAGGGCTCAGACCTGGGGTCTGGGGTTGAGGGCAGAAGTCGGGGAGGCAGAGCCCCCGCCTGGCCATAGCCTTCTTGGTCTGCTCTAGGCACTCCTAGCCCTGAAGCTAGTATTTTAAAAAGTGATTTCTGGATATTTAGAAAGTCATCCGGTGTGAGGAGCTGGGAGGGTCCAAGGATAGAACCCACAAGAGGAGGAAGATTGAAAAGGGGTCAGAGTGGGAGTGGGGGGCTGTTGAGGGCAAGGCCCACCCCCAACCCTGACCCTCAAACCCAGCCACAATGCCAGTCAGCCTCAGGCCAGAGGGTGTGAGCAACGGGGGCCCTGGCTGCTCTACAGTGGATCAGAGCCACTGGGTGTGGGGGGTCTTCCAGGGGAGGTGTGGGGATGCCCGGGCAAGGTAAGGCAGGCTCCCAGGGCAGAGACTGAGGCTGACCCCTGCAGCCCCCCTACTGCAGTGGGGGAATTCTGGGATAGGCAAGGGTCTTAACCTAGAAAGCCCCAGCAGCTCCTGTGCCCATCAGGACACCGCTGAGGCTTGGTGGTGGTGGAACCCAGGAATGGTCTTTGAACCCACAACCTGCAAGGGGAAGCCAAGGACAGTCCTGGCCTGTAGGCTCCTCTACCTGCAGTCAGTGGACAGGCCCAGTGAGGGGACCCCAGGAGCACAGACCATGAGCTTACCTGGCCAAAGACAGCAGCCAGCACAAAGACATCAAAGAGGGTGGGTAGAAAGGTCATCACATCGGGGTTGACTGCAGTCAGCACCAGGTTCCTCTGTACTTCTGGAACACACAGGCCTCTCCTTCCTATCCCTGAAGTGCCCCTGCCCCCACCCCAGCACCCTGAAGACCAGCCTAGTAGATGCATTTGTCCTGGATCAGCCCAGCTGTCCAAGCAACTACAATTTCTGACTAGAGAGCCAGGGCGGGGCAGGGTGTAGGAGGGGTCCCTGGAAGATGCTCCCTGGAATGCCCTGATGCCTAAAACGTTCCCCATTGGGCCTTCTCAGGGAGGGAGGGTTATGGCAGCCTGTTCTCTCCAGCCACCTCCATCACCACAGGAGCACTTACAGATGTTACGGGAGAGAATTGACCCACTGAAGCCAGAAACAGCATGGATGCAGCACTGAGGCTGGGGCTAAGTAGACTCTGGGAGACCGTCCCTCTGTCTTCAAGCTTTGGTCTCCTGGCCCTCTACAAGCCAGGCTGTTTCAGGATTTCCATGAGGCCTTGCACAGAGACAGAGTTCAAATACAGCTGGTGAACACAGTGGGCTTTAGGGAGGGGGCACATACCTAGTGGGGGGGGCTGGGTACCAGGGAAAGGAGGCCCTGTGGCTAGCGTGGCCTGTCTGCAGGTGACAAAATGACACATGAACCATGTGAGGAGAGAGGGTCCACCTGGAAGTGTGGACCAGCCAGATGGCCACCAAGCTGGATGGCCACTGCCAGAGCCTGCAGGACAGCAGAGGGGGCTGGGAAGGGACAGAGGACAGCTGAGGGGTGGGGAACCTGGTTTCCTTCATACAGACACATCAGTCTTCCCGAAGTGGTTCTTCCTCAAGGGGGTGAGGGGAGATTCAAGACACACCTCTAGTCCACCTCAAACTATCTCAGGAGGCCACCACCAATGCACACAGGCCAGCTGCATTGTCACAGTGACCCCAGAACAGCACAGCCCTATCCTTCAGATGAATAAACAGAGAGACACATCTCACAGCCAGGAGCTGGGACTCAGACCAGGTCCAGCTACAGTGCTGCCTCGATGGCTCCGCCTGCACCTCCTCCAGGACTCAGTTCCTGCTAACAAGTGAGCATCTGAATATGGGTGAAATAGGTGCTATTATCCCTGTCCAGCTGCTGGGGAAAGGGAAGCAAGGCACGGGTGACTTGCCCAAGGCCAACATGACAGGGCTGGTTCAACTCCATCTGTCTTGGCCAGCACATCCCCATGGCAGAGGCTTTACTGTGATCCAAACCTGGAAGGTGGAACTCCTTCCAATGTCCCACCCAGGGCACAGAGCATGCACCCCCATGTTTGGGGGGGGGACAGTGTGGGAAACAATCTGGCTAGGCCATGGACTCTTGGAGCCCAGGGTTTCCTAGGGCCAGGAGAGCTCTGGAGCCCACTCCAACACCTACTGTAAACCTGGAATCCGCACCTGCAGGAGATCAGGAGAGGGGTTCAGCCTCCGCTGCACCTACAGCAAGGTGAGACAGGCACAGGTGGGTGCCCTGCTTCCAACCAGCCTCAGGTGGGCAGGAAGCAGATCTCCTGCTTGACCTTCCTCTCCTGCCTCCCCAAAGCAGATGAGAAGGGGCAGCCGCCCATCAGGCCATTGCCCAGATTGAAGCTGCTGAAGCTAGGTCCCAACAGGCGAGTGTGACCCCTGACTATCATAGGCCCGGCCCAAGGCAGTCCAGTCTCTGGTGAGGACCTGGTAGACAGGAGATGTGATGTCCCCAAGTGGCTCTATAAACCTCTGATTGAGGATAATCAAGGAAATGGACAAGACCATCATGCTCAGCCAAGAACCTGGCAGGCAGAAGGGGAACCAGGGGCAGGCAAAAGTCAGTTTGGCCCCAGGCCTAGCCCCTGGAAGGATGGTGGATGAGGGGCCAGCCACAGTGAAGGGGAATGGATGGCCACGGGCTGCGTGGCCAGGGCTCTCAGCTCCTGCAGCCCCTGCAGAACATCTGCCCAGGCCTGGCTCTGCACTCAGCCTTCTGCCTGGAGCCACAGGTGCCTGGACACCGGCCTGCAGTAGGGATGGTGGTAGGAAAGGCACTGTGGCCACATGTGGGCACCTAAGCATGGGACAGAGGAGTATCTTGCCCCCAAAGAAACCACAGAGGCCAAGAGCTTAAGCAGATGAGACACTGTCAATAAACCCCCTTGTCCTGGGTCACATCAATTAAGTCAGCACCTACCCTGACCCTGAAGCTGCAGCTCAGTCTGGCTGAGACTCACAAAGAGATGTTAGTGCTGGGAAGGGCGCCTGGCTCAGCCTGCGATGTCCAGCAAAGCTGTGGGCTGAACAAGAATCTCTGAAGATTAGTCCAGGACAAGGAGAGCTGTGCCTGTGCAGGGAGTGGGGGCAATGCCCAAGGTGCAGGAGGCCTGAGGACATTTAACTAAGTAGGGTGCCAGGTTAGGATGCGCAGAAGAGAAGGTGGCATGGCGGCATCCTGCCCAAGGCCGGGCTATAAACCTAGGGGCCGCCTTGTCAAGCCTAAACCATGCTGCCACCCAGATGCCATCCTTCAAATGTGAGGCAGGGCTGGGAGAGCCCCCCAGAACCCTCATCCCTCCCACCCCAAGCTGGTTTCCATCCCTCACCAGAAGGAAAGGGAACTCTTCTATGGGGCACAGCCTGCCAGGTCCTCTATCACCTGGGGGAAGGGGCCAGGGGGAGGGGGAGCTGCGGCTGGATGAGAAAGAACCCAGATCCCTCTCTGTCCCTACCTGACAGGTGACCTCCAGCAAGCTGCTTTCATTGCCTGGGGCCAAGGAGAGTCACAGGGGAGGGAGCAGGTTAAAAGAGCTCCCCCCTGGAGCCCAGAGCTACCCACAGAGAAAACCCCCCATCCTCCTGATTCTGCTCCCAGCTCTCGCTACTGGGATAACATCCTCACCATCAGAGAGGCTGTGGGAGGCAGAGGCTGACCCTGCTCCTTCAGGCACCACAGTGGGTTTGGGTCTACATTCTTCATGATCAGGGAGGGGGTCCCTGGGATCACAAAGGTGAGGGGCAGCTTCTTGGGCTCCAGGTGCTCCAAAGTAGACCCTGTAGGGCACCAGAGCTAGAAGGGTGTTAGGGAGGCTGGGCGCAGTGGCTCAAGCCTGTAATCTCAACACTTTGAAAGGCTGAGGTGGGTGGATCACGAGGTCAGGAGATCAAGACCATCCTGGTTAACACGGTGAAACCGCATCTCTACTAAAACTACAAAAAATTAGCTGGGCATGGTGGCATGCAGCTGTACTCCCAGCTACTCAGAAGGCTGAGGCAGGAGAATCACTTGAACTCAGCAGGCAGAAGGTGAACAGGGCCAGGACCTGAGCTCTGCCTGGCCATGGTGACTCTGAGCCAGGTAAGCAATCTGTCACTGTGTCTCATGGGGGATGTCAGCATTACCTCTGGAGTCAAAGTAGGTAAGCCAGGGCAACCAGAGTTCCCAGTAGGGACCAAGACCAAAGGACGCAGGGGTCGGGCCTGTCCCGGAAGGTCAGGTTGGATGAGGGGTTCTGTGAAGCTGGGGCAACCGAGAGCCTGCCCTTCAGGTTACAGGCATCTGGGTCCTGGTCTAGACCCTCATATGCCATCCAGAGACCCAACCCTAGGGACAATTCCTCTGAGGCTGGTAGCAGAGAGTCGATCCTTATACTCACCTTACCAAAAGTTCTGAAATGAGGGGGCCTATGGGTGGGGGAAAGACTCATCAGGACAAGGTTCTCAGGGGCAGGTATGGTTGTAGCTGGGCCTTAGGGCAGCCAGAGAGGTAGGTGACAGGCCCGCTCACAAAGTCTGCCAGAGCATGCAGGAGGGACACAGGTGTAGTGGTGAGAATGTTCTGGAAGACAGCAGGCAGCCTCTTACCGATAGGGCCAAGTACGGTCAGGTCCACACACCAGGAGAAGCTGGTATCCACACACTGGTGCACTTTGTTTCTTGTTTTAGAGACAGGGTCTTGCTCTGTTGCCCAGGCTGGAGTGTGGTGGTGCAATGATAGCTTACTGCAGCCTTGACCTCCTGGGTTCATGCGATCTTCCCACCGCGGCCTCCTGAGTAGCTGGGACCACAGGTGCATGCCACCATGCCTAATTTTATCTTTTGTGGAGACAGAGTCTGGCTATGTTGCCCAGGCTGGTCTCAAGAGCTTTCTACCTCAGGCTCCCAAAACACTGGGATTATAGGGACAAGCAACCACTCCTGGCCATGCTGGTGCATTTTGGCTGCCATGGTGCACAGGAGATATGAGCTCCGGGGGTGCAGAGTCTGCTTCTGGACCTCTACCCAGGCCTGCACCCAGACTGACCCCTGGGCTGCAGGGAACAGGTGTGGAGAGAACGCAGCAAGCAGAGTGGGCTAGCCAGTGATGGAGACCCAGGCTGGGACTAGGAGAGGTAGGGCTCCCACCCTCAGCCTAGTGGCCCTGCCCAACCCCTTGGGGCCAAGATGATTTCTTGGGAAGCCAGGCATGGAGGCCAGCATGCACCTGAACTGAGGACAGAAGACTCTGATGAGAGGGAGGGGGAGGCCTCTGACATAGTTTGGATACTTATCCCATCCACACCTCGTGTTGAAATGTGATCCCCAATGCTGGATGTGGGGCCTACAGTGTGAGGTGTTTGGGTCATGGTGGGGGACCCCTCTTGAATGGCTTTGTGCCCTCCCCATGGTAATGAGTGAGTTTTCTTTTGTTTTTTCTTTTCTTTTTTTTTTTTTGAGACAGAGTTCACTCACAGCCCAGGCTGGAGTGCAGTGGTGCGATTTCAGCTCACTGCACCCTCCATCTCCCAGGTTCAAGTGATTCAATGACTGAGTTTTTTTTATCAGTTCACAGGAGAGCTGGTTGTTAAAAAGAGCCTGATGCCTCCTCTCTCTTTCTTCCTCTCTCACCATGTGACAGGCCTGCTCCCTCTCCGCCTCCCCCCAGGAGTAAAAGCTTCCTGGGACTGTTTGCACCAGGGTCTGCACACCCATCATCCCAGACCTCGGTCAGTACCTCCTTCCCTCTGCAGGCCCTCTCCCTCTGTCCATCTGCCTACTCCACATGCCCTGATCTGAAGCCTGCCTCCCCTCCTCATGGAGCCCTCCAAGATGCTCCTAGCCCTAGATCTCTGGTCCCACAGCACCTTCTGGGCCCAGATTCTGCCTTTTCAGAAGTCTGGGAGGCAGAGCCCCGCCTGGTCATAGCCTTCTTGCTCTGCTCTAGGCACTCCTGGCCCCAAAGCCTCCAGCCCGCTGGACATCTTCATCTCCAGCTATGCCGTGGCTCTCCTCATCCTGGGCCTCCTGCTCGTCAGAGTTGCCCTTGTCCTGGTGAGTGTCTGGCTGGGCCTGGGCTGCTTCTTGAGGGGCAGACTCAACCATGGATGCCTTGAGCCTTTGAGCCAAGCTGAGGGGCGAGCAGGTCCCTTTCCACCCCTGACTCCCCCATCCAAGCCCAGCATGTCCTCATCCTCCAGCTGGGGCCACGGGGTTTAAGGCCAGGGGGGTGGGCCTGATCCCAGTGTCCCCGCCTTTCTTGTCAAGGTGCTAAACTTGAGGGCATGCCTTGGGTGCTGACATTCCCAGGAACTCAGAGCCAGAGAGAGCCAGGCACCAGCCCGAAGTCACACAGCCAGGGGCTTCTTCCCTCCTGGACCGCCAATGACTGGACTTGCAGGGCTGGGAAAGAGGCGGAGTGGGGGAAAGCAATGAATTGTCAACCCACGCAGGGAGCCCCACTCCCATTCCCAAGGTGCATAAGGTCAAGGAACACCCGTTTCCAGGTCCATGCTCACTCAGGGCCCTGCTCCAAGTGCTTGGCACTCACACCGGCCTCCCGCCCTCCATGCCACAGGTATCGGTCTCATTTACAGAGGGGGAAATGGTGGCCAAAAGCCTCCCCCAGCACACATAGCTAGACCACACAGAGGTCTTAGGTGCAGCTGAGGGGTCCACAGTCTCTGCTGCCCCTTCTGCCACTGGTGCTCCCAGGGACCACGCTTCAGAGAGGGAGGAATAAGAGAGAGCTGGGTGCTCACACACGGGGCACAGAGGACTAGGGAAGGGTCAGCCAGGAGGAAAGGGCAAGGTCTGATCCTGTAGGTACACATCACACAGTCCGCAGAGTCAGGAGAGCCAGGGCCAGGTCCCAGCTCTGCAGCTGCTTGGTATGTGACCATGGTTAAGTTGTCTCCCTGGACTCTCCATGCACTTCGCATGCTGTGTGCACCTTCTAGAAGGAGCCTGGACCCTGGCTGGCCTCATACTTGCTGCATAGGCTGCAGACCCACAAGTGCTTCTGCAAGGGGCTTTGCTTCTCCTCATAACCTGGGGATAGAATGGAGTAGCTCTGGAGGTAGCAGGTAGGGGCTTGGCTTGGGTTCCTGGCCCAGACGAGGCAGAGTACACCTCAGGGTCACAGGGCTTTGGCAGCAGCCCTTGGCCCACACAGGCTGCCCAGCTGCCCACCCACAACCCATACCTTAGGGCAGCCCCAGCTGCTGCAGTTCACTGGCCAAGGATTCGCCCTCGACACTGTGCTTGGCCGCACTGGAGAGGATGAAACTCAGCACTTCTACTGTGGCCTTCATATCGCTTGACTCTGATGGACACGTGAGTGGGACAGGGGGTGTCACTGTGGCCCCAGCCACCTCCCAGTTGCCCTGTTAACTTCAGCACAAAGCTCCCAGGCCTCCTGAAGCCACAGGCACTGCTCCTGCTCCACCAAGAGCTGGCAGAGGACAGGAAGGTGGGACTGCGAATGTCTTTCTTTCCCTCATGCTCCTCCACTACGGAAGGTAAGTTAAGGATGCTGCAGGGAGGGGTGGGGGACCCCTCTGTTCCAGGCACCATGTTGAAGTCCCAGGGTTGCCTGGGGCCTGTGAACTCAGCGGGGTACTCACCAAACTTGGCATCAGCCGTGAGCTTCAGGATCTTCTCATATTATGGGGAAAGGAGATCTTCGGGGGTGCCAGTACCCTATTCACCAGCCCCTCACCCTTAGCCTGGATCCTGCAATAAGAACAGACAGGCTGGAAAGAAGTATGAGAGGTGCCCAGAGAGATTCTGAGGCTGGGTCACCCATCTCCCCGGGCCTAGTGCAGAGCTTCAGGGCACTGGGGGTCATAAGGTCATGGGACAATGGGGTGCTGGGTCTTGTACTCACATCATTCCCCTGTCCCAGCAGCTCTTTAGTACCTGGCTGCAGAGCAGCTGCAACTTCACAGAGGACTGGAAGGGAAGTCCTTATATCAGCCAGGCTGGCAAACCTCACCCCTCCTTCCTGGGGACTGGCTCAGAGCAGGCCAGCCGCTGATCAAGGTCACAAAGCATGGTAGCACAGGCTGAGACCACTGAGGTCCCAACCCCAGAAAAACCTCACCATCATCTACACCCACAATCCCCAGCCCCAGCACCCCTCCTCCACCCAGACTAGACCCTGTGCACTCAACCATCTTGGCCAGCGTGCCTATCTCTGCCAGGACCCACTTGGGACAGTCCAGATCACCATAGAACCAAAACCTCTGCAAGGGAGGGAGGCAGGTAATCAGGCTGGAGGGAAGGCTGAGGTGTGGCCAGGATCCGTGTCTCCCACACTTCTGTCCAGCAGGGACCCCTGGACCCCATCACAGATGGACACCCTCCGGCCACTTGTTCTCCCCTATCACCAGGGTGTGGAGTGAACTCTCTCCCTGACCCACCCTGCCACCAAACCCTGCTCTGAGGTCTACTCCAGGCATTCGTCTGCTCAGCAAACATCAATCAAGCGACTTCTCTGTGCTAGCTCCCACTCTAAGCGCTGGGGGTACAGCAGGGGATAAAACAAAGTCCTGGGCCTCACACAGATGGGTGATCTCTCTCCCCTCTTCCCCATACCCACACAAGTCTAGTCACTCCGGCTTCCCTACTGCTGCTCGGGGACACCAGCGTTGCTCCCGCCGCCATGCCTGCTGCATTCTCTGTGTGGCTTGCTATCCTTTATTTCATTCCACTCTCGGCTCAAGTGACCCCTCAACATGAATGCAGCCGCCCTCTTTTTTTGTTTTTTTTTTTTTAGAAGACGGAGTCTAGCTCTGTTTCCCAGCTGGGAGTGCAATGCCCACAATCTTGGACTCACTGCTAACATCCATCTCCTGGCGGTCTTAAGCAATTCTGCCTCAGCCTCCCAAGTAGCTGGGACTACAGGCATGCACCATCTCACCTGGCTTTTTTGTATTTTTAGTAGAGACAGGGTTTCACCATGTTGGCCATGCTGATCTCGAACTCCTGACTTCAGGTCATCCACACACCTCAGCCTCCCAAAGTGCTGGGATTACAGGCTCGAGCCACTGCACCCGGCCAGGCCGGCCCTTCTTGATCATACTTCCTAAAATAGCCCCTCACACAAGGAAATTTTGGGGGTGGGTGGATATGTTCATTATCTTGATTGTGGTGATCCAAGAGCCAGGAAGATTTGATCTTTACTTATGCCACCTCATCTTTCCCTAACCTCCAGATGATACTCTCCCAGCTATGGGAAATGCATTCATTCCTGGGGAGCCATGCTGTCTCTAACCTGGTCTCTGCACATGCTGTTCCCTGTCTGAAGACATACACCTCCCACCCTTGCCTCCCAACCCCTGGTACAAAAACTCTACTTCAGCCAGCCAGTTCTTGCCATCGGGGCCTTTAAGGTTGATGGCATCCTCAGGGAGGCCCCTTAGCACTACACACAAGGCGTGGTTAGGTCTCTGCCCCTGGAGCCTTAACTATGACTGCCAATTCAAGCCTCCAATTTCCCCTTCCCTCGCAGCTCAAGTCGTCCCAGTGCCTAGCACACTTCATGGTATGGACTAGACGCTTAGAACGCACGGATGGATGGATTGGATGGATGGATGGATGGGTGGATTAGATGGATGGACAGATAAGTCTCAACCCCAAAACTACTACTTTCGGGATCTGGAGAGAGTGGAGGGGCTTCCTAACACTGTGGAAGAGTGAGACTGATTCTAAGCAAGCGTCCAAGTCCCACAGGAGGGCTGGGGAAGACGGTGTCCTTGGGAGGTCCTCCTGGGGCTGGGGAAGACCTGAAAGGACTCCCAGCTCCAGACAAGCCCCACTTCCTGCCCCCGGAGACAGGGGCCCTTCCTCCCGCCAGGGAAGCGCGGGGACTCTGAGCTGGCCGCCCTGCTCTGTCTTACCCGCCCCTCACCCCCGCCCCCGTCTCAGGAGCGGGATGGCGGTGGACTTTTCTCTACCAGACCGGCAGCCCTCACGCTGGCACATACTGTATTTGCGGAGAGGCCAGGGCAGACAACCTCCCCCAGTTTCCGGAGCCACTGGCGCCCCCGAATTCCCGCTCTAGCAGCCCATGCCTTGCTTCACCCCTGGCGCCTCATCATGGCGCCAGGAAGCCAGGGCCCGGGAATTTCTTTTTCCAGTGGCGTGGGGTCAGCTGATTCCACGATCAGGTGACTTGGACTAACGGACTCTGGGAGGGCGGGGGCTGTTCGAGTGTGGTTGAGAGCCGACCGCAGCCCACTGGAGGTGCCGGGTGAAAAGCTGGCGTCTCCTCCTCCTCCTCTCCCAGAATCCTTCCCTGGAAAAAACCAGCGCCCACCGCCAGTTTAACTGACGGTGGGAGTTATTTCATTTGTTTAACTTAAGCGGGCAGGATCCCGGGAGCCAGGGGGATTCAGGTCATTGCCATGTTTTCCACTGTTAAGCGATTAACATTATACACAGCTGCGGGCTGTGGCAAAAGACATTTTAAAAACTATTTAAAATAATCTACTACACATACAGAACATTGTACCTATTATAAATATAAAGCTTAATAAGTTTTCATCAACTGTAGACCTCACATAACCAGCACCCAGATAAGGAAATAACCAGATAACTTCTTCAAGTGCATGGGTATTTTATTTCATTTTGATGAGTCGTCTAGGTGCCTAGCAAAAAGACTGTCATAATTAACATGCTCAGGAAAACTCCCTACAGCTTCAACATCAATAGATTCTTAATTATTGCCAATCTGATGGGGAAAAAAATCGGTTGCTTAGATTGCAGTGGTAGTCAGCTTACTGGTAGCTTTGAGCTAATGGGTAATCTAGAACAACTAAGTTTCTGACATTGACTTGAAGAGGCAAAAACAAAAAGACAAAACAACAACAAAAATATTTTTATATTTTTAGTAGAGACAGGGTTTCACCATGTTGGCTAGGCTGGTCTTGAACTTCTGACCTCAGGTGATCCTCCCACCTCGGCCTCCCAAAGTACTGGGATTACAGGCATGAGCCACCACGCTCCAACCTCCCTTTAGGATATTAACAAGTTTTGTCTCTATTTCAGAATGCATTAGAGAATAGACTAATAACCAGAGAAGAAATTGAATAGAGTCATCCCTTAGTAACTTCAGGATATTGGTTCCAAGACCCCATAGATACCAAAATTCACCGATGCTCACGTCCCTGAGATAATATGGCATAGCATTTGCAAATAACCTATACACATCCGTCTGTAGATTTTAAATCATCTCTAGATTACTATAATACCTAATGCAACATAAATGCTTTGTAAATACCTGTTATGAAGTATTTATAAATGTTTGTTTTTTATTATTTTACTTTTTCCAAGTATTTTTGATGCATAGTTGGTAAAACCCAGGGATCCCGAACCCGAGGATACAGAGGGCTGACTGTAGTTTGAGCTCTCTCCTCAATTCCATGCCTATCCCATGCACCAGGTGCAGCTGGTTTGATTGTTGCAGGCTTTCAGGTTTTCAAAAGACAGAGCTCATGACAAGTAAACTGCTCTATAGAATAGAAAGAAATGGAAAGTGTCCCAATTCATGGTAAAATTGAGCTCATTTCTGAAGAGTTCTTTTACAAATCATAAGCACTAGCCCCTTGAAAACAACAGTATGTTAAGTTACTAAACCATCCTATACCACATAGAAGAAAAATTTTTTAAGAACATAAGACCTGTAATCACAGCACTTTGGGAGGCCAAGGCCGGTGGATCACTTGAGCTCAGGAGTTCTGGACCTGGTTGGGCAACATTAGGAGACCCCAGTCACTATAAAAAATTAGCCACTTGTGCTGGTGCACACGTGTCGTCGCAGCTACCTAAGAGGCTGAGGTCAGAGGATCTCTTGAGCCTGGGAGGTGGAGGCTGCAGTGAGCCACGTGATGGCACCACTGTACTCCATCCAGCCTGAGCAACAGAGTAAGACCATCTCAGCAAAAAAAAAAAAAAAAAAAGAAAAAAAAAAAAAAAGCGTGGCCCGCCGAGGGCTCATGCGCCTATAATCCTAGCACGCTTTGGAGCCAAGGCAGGCCATAGTCAGCCTGAGGTCGAGGAATAGAGGACCAGCCCTGGCCAAAATCAAAATCTCTCTCATACAAAAAAAAAAAAAAAAAAAAAAATTGCAGGGCATAACTGCCCG